GAAGTAAAATAATTGTAAATTGTATAATTAAGTGTATAGCACGAAGATATATGTTTTTTCATGTGTATATATAATTTTCTCTCGCTTTATACAAACCAGAAACACAATTTATACACTTTTGTGTATAAAGCGAGAGAGGCAAGCGAGAATTGGAGAGTGGCGAGCGAGATTTTTGGGAGAGAGGTGACTGACAAACTTTGGCTAATGTTTGCTATGAAGCACAATTAAATCAAACCGTAGCTACTTCATTTATTTTAGGTTATTAGTTTGTTATTATATACAATTATCCCATAAATTTATTCGATGCAGATCCGGTAAAATTTCTTAAGGTTTCAAAAAAGAAATTCATTGTATGTACGCTAAAATTATTTCGAAAGTGAGTAACAAAACGTTCGACCCTTATTTCGAGATAGAATCAATCTCAAACGGTCTATTCTACGTACATCTAATTTATGTATATATACTACTAAATAACTTGATCTTCCAATATAATTATTCTAGTAATTTGAAAAAGTAGTGAATATGATTAAAATTGAAGCAGTGGGAGGACGTGGTAGATGCAAGTGGGACGAGACCAAGTTGCTGGTCTTCTTATTTTCTACGACAAAGCACTTCAATTTATGTACCATGAATATGGTAAATTAGTTATGTCAGAAAATTATGGTAAGATGAAATATATAAGTAACTCCGATAACTTTTGTTCAATCATGTTTGATTATCCATCAGAGTTTCTTACTTCAATAAGCGGTAGTTTTGATAAAAACATAGTAACTTCGATAAAATTTGTTACCAACAAGAGTCATTTGGTACCCGTCCTTGTAATGATGATAATAAGGACTTCAACTTTTTCATGGGAAATCAGCGTATTTTTGGTGGTTTTCATGGCACAGAGAATTTCAAATTCAAGGCTAACACAACTTCTATCATCAATCCAAAAGTTATTTCTAGAATCAAAGATGAAGAGGAAGAAAATTGAGTTATTTATTACTACTTTTTCTTAAGTTTATGCTTTATCTATTGGAAAAAAAAAAGAAATTATCTATGCTTTTTTGTTATTGGTTTTACTTTTATATTTGTATCAATAGTTTGGAACTTCTATATATAAAAGTTTGGTTTAGATCTTAATTGTAGCTTATTTTGGGTTCTATCTAGAATGTAATAGTACCGGAAATGCTTTTAAATTTCCATTTAACTTGTGTACATGGACAAAATTTGAATCAATCGTTTTTTTTGAAAGAAAATGTATAGTAAAAATAGGAGTCCGGAGCCTAAAGGGTATAAAATGTTAATAAAAATTCTAAAGCAGTATATGAATATTTATTTTAACCAAAAGGGCAAAATCGCTGGAAGGGCAGCGACTTTGCTTGCCGGAAAAAATAAAATCGCTGCATTGGCAGCGATTTCTAAAATATTTTTAAAAAAATAAATCGCTCCCTAAATTAAAAAAAA